TATATATATATATATATAATAGAGTATCTGTCGAGTAATGACTATGTGACGCATAATGTTGAGGACAATAGAACTATCTATCCTTTGAAACATCTATCGTGGAATGGATACGCTCTTTCGATGGCATTGAGTCTTTTATGCAACGATAAATACCACGTAATGGAATAACAAACGAGACGCTAAATGACCATGTAAAAAATACGCTATTTAAAAACTGTTATTTTTCATCAAGAGCATTAAAGAGGCATCGGCGATGAATATTTATCAGCCCGAATTTCAGGCGTATACATACAACGTGACAGAAGGTACTAAAAAATTCAAGAATTTAAATAGTCGACAGTGGTCGACAGTCGTTTCGGATTCAAATTTGGTTAAGAAAAGAATTTATCGGTGCAACAGCAAAGTTTTTTAATGGTAATATACAGTTAATGGTAAATTCAATCTTGTTTTTAATTAATAATTTCTTAATAATTATTTCAATCACAAACATTAATCTCGTTAATACGCAGGGCGTGTTCCTATAGTGATATATATGTATGTACATATCTGTCAATGGAATTAGTCGAACGACATAAATGTCATTATGTTACGAATCAATACGATATTTGAGAGTGAGCACATGTATTCCTGGAATATAACCTAATCAATGTTATGCTAATAAATTTGTTACGAAACAGATTTGGATAACGAATGTAAAAATACATTTGAAAAGATCGAAGAAGAAGATAAAGAAAGAGAAGGCATATACCTACCTACCTACAATATGCAAGGCGAAAGCAGAATCAAAGATCTTGACAGATGCACTTCGGTGGATCTTTCACTTGTAATTGACCTTAAATCCGTTGCAATAGTTTCTCTTTCTTCTTAGTTTTCTCATTTGAGAAAATGATCAAAATCTCATTTGAGATTTGACAGCTTTTTCAAAAGTAAAAACTTTAGGAAAGAAAGAAAGATTTTACAAAAGTTAACTAGCATTATACTAATATGATTAATGATGTTTCAATTACTTCAAAAGCGAGATTTTAAATATAATCGAACAATCGTTAAATTACACCTTTTATTGAATGTACGTTCTTGTCTTAGTGAAACGAGGAAACGCATGTATGAATTAATTCTGTCGTCTTTCGAAAATAGCACATTAATGTGAATTATGTAAAACTGACTTCCGCAAATTGTGTTTTGTCTCTCCTCTTTCAAAAGGGAAACAATAATAGAGACGCAACGTTAATGTATTAGTACAAATATTTATACAAGTATTATTTATCATCTCATTAAAAAATGTTATTTTACACAATATTTCTATAATCGTAAGATATAAAAAAAAGATCTCAGAAATAACCAGAAATAACGTTAATGTTCTGTTGAACACGCAAAACGGATATTCTCATTTTTCAACCGCAAGAGGATAAGACCACAAATTGCCTGAGAATTCAAATACTCCTGTTTTGATCTCGTTATAGAATAACGAGGCACTATCATTATCTTTTCGAAGTCTATAAGATTTTCGTCATTTCTAGATGGAACTCAAAATAGTGAACATTATTTAAAACTTTTTTGTTTAAAACTATTATAACATATACGGATTATACAAGAACGAATGGTTTATGCGGTTTGTAAAAATAAAAGTAAATAACGGTTTAGGTAATTGTTATGAAAGCTAATTTTTTCGGCGTATCATATATGTACATGTATATAGATAGATATATATCTCGATATATATGTAATTACTTGGAGCTTGATCAATTTACGCATTACCTGCAATATGAAAATTTATTTTATCGTCCTTTGTATTATACACGCGCGAGTACGTTTTCGTGATGAAATAAAATAACGCATTCGCGCGTTTCGATGCAATTCATTAGAATAATGCAAAACACGCGAGTTTAATTTGCGTCAGCATTGCACTGTAATTTATACAGCTACAAGGATACTCCGAGCGTGTATTATACATAACGGTAAGACAGCAGAGCTAAGTTATACTAATTAAGCCATTTTCAATTGATGATTTGTTTATCAGCACATAAAGAAGCAAAATAATTTTTTTATCAGATTTTAATTTTACCGTTAGACAGTACATCCTGCACTTGTTTCGTTCGAGATATACTATTTCGGATATGCTTAGTTCTAATTAACGAAGATAGATAGGTAAATCATTCACGCTCCAGATTCTCGATGATTATTATGCTTTGCTATTAAGAATTAGTGCTCCGCGCAATCTCACGATCAATGATGTAATCGCTATTGGTTACAATCGCTGGAGCGACTCGTGGAGCGATTAATTCACTTGTATTCGCCTTGAGCATAAAGCGATTAAATACGAGGCTCTGTTTACACAACAGAAAGATTCGATAAACACATCCAAGTTGAATTTATCTGATAAAGATTTACGATGAGTATATGGGCTCAGACACAATGACAAAAATAAGTTATAAGATAAAGGAATAAAGAATAAGGGAATGTCGCATCTCACTTCAGTACACGTACATTAAAGTGAGATGCAACATGCCTTATTCCTTATTCTTTTATCTTATTCCTTATTTTTCTCATTGTGTCTGAGCCCTAAGGCGATCAATCGAGTGACTCATTGTTGATTATTCTATCTACAATGTTGTTGTGCACAATGTAATATGATCTAGATCTAGAATGCAAATGCGCGGAATTTTTATTTTCCGTGTATCATTAATAAGTAATCATGATTGTGCTTATTTGAAAGAAACGATGGAGAGGGGGGAGGAAGAGAATCGCTCATAAATTTTATAATTTAGCCAATTGAAAATCTCGTCGATATTTATTACCGCGCTGCGGTAAGCGAGAAGAAAACCTTGATCGATAATTGACAGCAAAAATAATGAAAGGAGTAATAATAAAATGGAGAAAAGATATAGAGAGAAAATGTTAATATTACGAAACCTCCCGTGGGTACTCGGGAAATTCCACGCCCTCGCACTTCGCACCGATACTCGAGATGGCGCCACGTACAGTAACGAGCCACTCGCTACGAAAAACGTTCGTGTAATTTGACATGCGGTAATTTCTTACGCCCTGACGTTGTTTGTGCCATACTGAGATTGTATAACGCTAATCATATCAACTATATAGAATAAACGTTACCATTTGGTCACTTACCGGCGCGAAATCCAGCATATAGTATGTGAAGCGCGCGGCTCTGTACGTGCGCGCTGGCTAATGGAACGATCGAGTCATGAGGAACACGATTAAAGAGAGACACTTGAAAATTCGTGTATCCGCAATAGGTTAGAATCCCGCTGTTGAGAACACTCGCTTCTCACGAATACACGATCACGATCACTACACTCTGCGGATAAGTACGTATCACTCACCAAGGAACAGACAGCGAAATAGAAAGCGTGAGGTTAGGCAGTGGGAGCACGCAGTTGCGTGCGACACCTCCGTACACTGTGATACGACGATACGTTTCGTTCGTTATAGCGCGTTTTCGAAAACGATGAATGACAGCGTAACAAGCGACGCACACTCCTCGCGGTGGTCGGCGCGGCAATGTGATTCCGGATATATTGGTTCGCTCATCGCTGCAATGGGCGACGGTGGTGGGGTACCGCGATAGGGGAGGACGGTACTACTATGCGCGTGTTGGTTGGAGAGTGCGTGGCGCGGCGCAGCGCGGCGCGGTGCGGTGCGGTGCGGTGCGGCGCGGCACGGCACGGCACGGTGCGGAGTAGAGTGGAGAGAAAGGGAAAAGAATTCTATAAGCGAGGCTGCGAGAGTGTATGGTAGCTAAGAGGTATCTAGCAGAGGTGGCTGATTCGGGGAAGGGAGTAACATGGGGTAGTTGCAGAGGGGCGCGAGCGCCTCGGAAGGGTGAGGCAGATGGCTGTTTGTAATCTCTTTGAATAGCGCGTTTTCCATCTACAGACTAAATGCTCCATTTATTAACGTTGTGATTTCACGACGTAACGCGGGCCGCGGTAATTGAATGTACGCGGAACGCGGAAAGAGTCGCGACGATGACGTATCTAACGCGAGGAATGAGTTCCATTCCGTTGTTTAGCGATAAAAACCATATCGAAATGAGGGGGCTATATCATAAAGCAGTCTGTTCCAAATTGGAAAAAAAAGTTTTTTGATTCTATGTTTCTATAAGTTTACGCTCCGATAATCAGTGAGTGAAGAGTCGATAGTCGGAATGTGCCAAGTGTACCAGCGAGATAAATAAAAGAGTGAAAAGGCCTATCCTATTGGCTTGCAATGTTATGAATTATTGTTAATATTTATCTCGCGCATGGTGTCAGGCTATCCTGCGGCATGCCGTGCCGCGACGTAGTGGCGTTCGTGAAAAGTCTTCGGTTTAACTACCTGCTAGTAACGTGATCGTTTACGTCGATTAAGGCAACATGTGTTCGAGGAGTGTGTAAACACAGTCATTGAGTTTCAAAGTACAAGAGCAAAACGTGCTTCGATATTACCAACATTGTAAGGCACAGTCCGTTTATCCTGCAGCTTACAAATGCAGAGACTTTATATTTACCGCGAATTTTTAAATTTATTTGTAAAAAGCTTTTTATTTTAGTCACATAAAACTCAATGGGAATATATATAGTACACATACCGCGAGAGCGTCGATTTATCACTGACTTGAAGCGTCAGCAGTTTATATGAGTCTTGCAACTGATAGAAATTCGATTGTTATCATATCTTTGGTACTTAAAAGACCATGATTTAAACGCGTTATAGTTGATAGATATTCGAGTTTTGCAAGATTAATGAGAAGAAAAATTCGGATTCATAAATCGTAGATTATCGTAAAGACAAGATAGATAAGCTGGATAAATAAAAATTATTCTATATATGCATTAGGCATAGGAAGGGGGAGCTGAGGGCCAGCACCTTCCCAAATCAGTGCGTAGCCTCCCACCCAAAAAGCGAGAAATAATAAATAACAGTTTAGCATACTAAGAGATAAATAAAAATTTTAAAACACCAAATTCTGCAAGAGCAAAGAAAAAAGAATTGAATTTTGTGGAATAGTTCATTGCAACGAAATTCTCATCATATTTGATTTCCATAGGTGGATGTAGATTTACTTCTGAACTGTAACTCCAGAAACATCTGGAATGTAGAACAAAGGCGATAATACTCGAAAGTAGTATGACAGATGATTCACAGCTATTTAGCCAATTACAATCGAGAGGTTTCTGTTTGTTTAAAGAGATCTTAGTTAAAAAAGTACTGAGCCGTTTTGCGATAAAGGATTGCTGCTTAACACTTTCATGATCTGTTGTTTATTACATACCCAGTTTGTTTCTTTTAAAATAAGTGCAAATGTTTTGTTATTAATATATTTGTTCTAATAGTGTTCAATTATTTTTAATCCAAAAGATTTAATTGGGGGGGGGGGGAGTATGTGAACTTGGCCAATCTGGGGAGAGGCCATGCCCGTCCCCATCCCCCAGAAAGTTTAGTTATGCCCATGCGTATATACAAATAGATATGCTTTATAAAAAGACGTTTTAATACTAAATAAAAATAAAAAATTAAGATAAAAGAAAAGAAATACAAAAATTAGAAAAGCAGACTAAAACATTATAAATAAGATGATGCACGTGCGTTTTATATAAAAATCAATCAACTTTAGTAGACGGTCATTTACTATACTGGCAATACAACAGAAATGTAATCTCTCGTATATAAATAATTACAAAAGAAAGATATTGACAATGAACTAAAATAAAAAAGGCAGTTAAGATGGTATTAATATATGTATATAAATACAAAGTCAGAAAATCTCCAGTGATGGAAAGAATGAAAGGCGAAAGAAAATATCTTCTCGTCGCAATCATGACAGAGAGATGTTTTATGAGATCTTCAAACGATAACATTAAATACGGCCTGTTTATTTATTGCTCCGGATTCGAGTTTGTTTTAGAAATACCCGACACATCGTGTGAATAATACCTGCATCTGTTGGCCTAGATAACGAGCTCTGACAGTGTTGGTGGGAGAGGAGGGAGAAGAAAGAGGGAATGGAGGCGAATGGATCTGAAGGGAACGGAAAGGGAGAAAGAAATAGGGAGAGGGAAGAGAGAAGAAGACTGAGGAAAGGAGGGGGAGGGGGGGGAGAGAGAGAGAGAGAGAGAGAGAGAAAGAGAGAGATTTGTCATGTTTCATTATAAATACCATCGCAACCATGAAGCCAGTTGAGCAAGTTTTATCTTCCACAATATGCTTTTAGGCGAACCAGCCTTTCCTGTCATCAATCACTTACTTTTTTCAGAGAATCGACTTTGGACGTTATTACCTTTTGACTTTTTTTTTACAGAGAGTAACACTTATTATATCGTTTAACATGTTGAAATGTATCGAACACGTGTGGATACAAGAATACGCGTGGAGAAAGATTTCATTGAGAGAAAAGTATTTGGTATTTGCGACTATAATATAATTGCATAGGAAAATAATTATGGTTGAGGTTTTTATTTTTATAGTTATTATTGCTATAATATTAATAAAAATCATCTTACATGTATAGATTTTTCAATTATGATCATTTTTATCATATTTATAGTACGACTTACTATACATAAATCACAGGTTATAGTGTATAAAACCATTTTATGATTGAATGAATGCATGTTGAAGCTCCGTTATACAACAGTAATGTACTATGAGTCAGTTATAATTCGTATGTTAAAATAACTATAAAAATGTAGTTGGAACCGAAAATAACTAAAAATTATAGTAAAATTGTAACTGCAACTATTTTTTTCTCTCAGTTTTGTTTAAATTAATTGTTCAGTACACGCTATTCTTAAAAGTGCATTTATTTGCATTTGGTATCTATGTATCCAAGATGCATTTATTTTTATTCGTTTATTATATCGTTTTTTGTTATATAAGAAAGTTATAGGTAAGATTATACTCTTATCAGAATACGAACTTTGCATCGTAACTATCACAAATATAAAGCACGATAAATTCATCTTGTGGTTAACAAACTATAATTAGTTACTTTTTTTTAAATCAGTTTTGTTATAGGTACGTATAATGTGTTATATTTGTAAGCTGTACTGATATATATAAATATTTTAACGATAATTTAAGTTTCTTTTTAAGTACGAATGTATGTTTGTGGATGCATGTATTTATTGTTATCATGACAGTCAGAATGACGACCATTAATGAACGATTATATTCATAAACTTTTTGATAATGTCCTAAAGCCAATTCAAGGATAGCTTATCGTTTAGACTGAATATAGAGTACACTCGAAATACTTGTTTGAACGCAAGCTATATTGTTATAGATATTATAAATGCAATTAATACATTAAATAATGTAAGAAAATTGAACTAATAATGAGGATGCAGACTGAAATAAAAGAGGATCTTGATTGTTAATCGAATTTATAAAGTGTTTGTGTTTTTATGTCTGTAAATTGTTATTTGGCATTTCCATTGTATTGATTCAATTTTATAAAAAATAACAAATGCGAGATCGCGAAGCGTAAAGAACAAGTAGAGAAGGCTGCTTACATAATGCAAATAATCCGCGATAGCTTGTGTATTCTAACAGACAAGAAAGTTGATTTTCAAAGATAAAGTAAGATCCGCTTTACGTTTTCGACCGTTCTGGTAGATTAATTAACGATACATTGTTACTAAGTTCCACAATAATTGATTTGCATTATAAAATAAATTTTATTTCCAACATAATCGATGGTAACGATATATAAACCGTATTTTTTGTATTTTTGTATTTAGGAATTTTTTTATAAAATTTATTCTATTTTTATCATTTATTCGTAATTGGAATAATTTATATCAATTATAATTTCTAAAAGTAATCGAGAAAATAAAATTGTACAAAGATCTTATATCACAAAATAAATAACGATGGTTGATTAAGCTGAATAAATCAAAAGAAATGGCAGCTTAAACGATCGAGGTTACAAAAAAGCAAACTATTTATCTCATGTTGGTTGAATACGATGTAATAGTGTTGTAGAATTAACGGTTTGGCGATGCAATTACTTCTTGATTAAATCGCACCTTTCTCTCGATTACTTCGCAGTTTCTTGAGCAGAAAACATGTTCTAACTTTCGCATTATTTCGTCGATAATGAATAAAATTATAATGATATTGGTAGATATAATTTTTTTTTAACAGATCTGAGATATCGATCGTACGGCATTTTTGAGAGGAATTTGATAAAAAATCTTATAAAATTATACCAATAAACGAGTAAATTAATAAAAATATTGAAATGTTTTTGCTTTTTTAATTAGTCATGCGGTTGGCATCAAAATTCAAATTTTTGATAAATGTTTTATGTTTTTGTGACAATGTATTATAAATATATTCCGGTTTTATATGATGACTGCATGTGTACATAGAGAGAAAATCCAAGAAATCAAACGACAGATGGTCGTTAGAGAAAGTAGATGAATGGAAAGTGAACTCTCTTTTATGGCTATAACAATGCCATTACATATATTAATGCATATATATAATATTTTTTTGAAACATGTATTTGACTATTAAAATATTCAGATCACCATATAATTCTTATATTATTTATTATACGTGCAGGAT